ATTATGGAAGTGTGGTATACAGAACTACAAGATGAAAGGGGACTACTGGAGGCAACTCCACTAGAGGATCTTTTCACAGTGCCCACACATATGATTCCAGCCAACAGTGCGCTGATCACTGTAGCTGAAGAACAGCGGGGACACTTGCCTAAGTGGGGACGCCCGCGCGACTCCGACATCGAGGAGACGTATCATGTCCCACTGTGCTCCACGATCGAAGATTGCAGTTGCGGACTGGACTCGGACGAAAAGGGGCAATATGTAGAACTCTGCTTTACGGCAGAAATGTCAAAAGTAGTCTTGTCCGAACAACAGCGCTGGATATCATATGCCGACCGTGTGACCACCATGCGAGTATATGTTGCCGCCGCTGCAAAGTGTGCTGCGGTCGTCAAGGAAGACGACCTCCTCTCGAAGGCTGACATCCAGGCGAATCCCGAGAAAGTATCGAAAGCCCTATACACTGAACTCAAGACATGGTTTGACAACAAGTGCTTCAACATCCAAGATATATCTAAAGCGTCAAACATCATGACTTCGAGGCATGTGTAAAAATGGAAGTTTCTGTAGAACGAGAAAGGCGACATGGAACGCACCGTCAGATTACGCCTGGTGCTCCGAGGCCCCATGGACCCTGAAGCCTTCGATATGGGAGCCTTTTCGGGAAAAACGCGGCGGTCGAGCCAGAGACTACTCGCGAGCGCGGCAGCGTGCAAGAAGCAATGGCTCGTTGCTTCCCTCGACATCAACATGGCTTTCCTGGAAGGGTTGACCTACCAGGAACTTGCTGAGGCAACTGGTGAACAAATAACGTGTGGTGTGCTTTAGTCTGCCGCCCGGATCGGCCACGGCGCTTCGAACTCTCCCGGGATTCGAACACTGCGACGAGTCGAAGCACTGCTTGCAGCGCCTTAAGCCAGGCACTGGCACCAAGGACGCACCTCGAGTTTTCTCACTTTAGCTCAGAAGGTCCACAAGAGGCTTCGGTCTCAGACCCACGTCCTACGATGAGGAGTTCGAGACGGGCAGTAACCTGCTCACGGCCAAACATGTTGATGACATTAATACGGCCGGTACAGAGGACACCATTGACCAGTGCGTCATGTGCGTAGAATACACCTTTGGTAAGTGTAAACTCAATAAGCACACGTGCACCAAGTGTGCTGTGAGATATACCAAGGATGAGAACGGCAGTGTCACTTTGGACCAAGACGAATACACCAAACAGCTCCGTCCTATACAACATCCTGAACTTACAGGCGCCGACGCTGACGCCCAAGCATCCAAGAGGGTTACATACATGTTCGTCAGCCTTAGAGGCGCCTTGGCGTATGCATTAATCACACAGGTGTGGGTGATGGTGTATGTTGTCTCTCGACGACGTGTCCAAGAGCCGATCAACATACAAGTGCGACGACTGAACGCGATTACCAGGGACCTGCAGGTCTGTCCTAAGAAGATCGTCTACCAGGCGATGACCCCCACGGGCGAGGTTGACCTGCGCAGCGGCTCAGGTTACCGACTCCTGAATGGAGATGCCGATGACGGAGTCAATGGCAATGGTATTCACGGGTCAAACCTGCTACGGCGTGGAAGCACGCCATCCGGTAAGCTTGTCGTTCACGTAATCGATGTGTACTGCACGTCTCACCGCTTGCAGGCCCGCTCGAGCTATTCAGCAGAGACACTAGCAGCAGCCCGCAGCTTGGGGGACTGTTATCCCACGATCGTGACTCTGCACGAGCTTCATGCAGAGCCGTTAACTCCCACCCAGTTGAAAGACTTACTTGAATTGGGTGGCCTGAGCATCAGGGTCATTATGACCATAGATGCTGAGTCTATTTTTATGTCCTTATCAAGCAAAGATGTGAAGAAACCGACTGAGTGTACCCTTTAAGACACACCAGCTGGATACGACAAATGCTGAAGCGAGGAATCGTGCACAGTATTCAGCGGTGTGACACCCGCGATATGACCGCGGACGGTCACACCAACGGGAGCATCGACAGATAAATGCTCCGACAGGTCATGGGAGGTACACGATCCTTCAAACATGACTTAAGGCGTCAAGCTCCCTATCGGGCTGGCCAGACATCTCGTTCTGTAACCGCCTGAGGAGTACTCGCATGCACAGTACAGTGCAGGCAAGGCAACTTGCGCGCGGGCCCACCTTCCTTATGGCCCCGCCCTTTTTGCGGTCATTGTGAATCTAGTAGCTGCTGTGCCTGCTGTATAGAGGCGACGGATTCACGCTTCGTCCCCCCCCTCCCCCCCCGACTAGTGTGAGCTGGGTGTTGCATGTGAGTGGGGGCGAGCGTGCGTCCTCGGCTGCTTGGTTCAAAGCGGCCGGTCGCCCTGATCTGATTACACCTCAGTGCGAGGTGTGCGATTTCCCATCGATGCCAAAACTGCTTGAGATGGCTCGCCCCCTACTACTGGGACTATCGTTACTACGGTGCAAACGGGCGGGGGCTGGGGCTGCTGGTTGGGCCCCCCAGCCCTTTTCAAACTGGAACCCCATGCCGAGGAACGCCCTGCTTGCCTCCAGGGTGCCCCGTACTTCATGGGTTTTGATGGTTTTGCTGTGGAAGCATGACGTTCCCCGACCAAAAATGAATGTGCGTCCTGGGGTCTCCGGGTTGGGCCTCTGGTGGACGGTTTCTTGTGGTCGAGCTCTCACTGCGCCCTCTCCCTGGGGCTGGATTTCTATCCTGCGCCTTTCTTGTCGACGGCCCCCGGGCCTGGCGGCGGCGCCCAGGCGTCGAGAAGGGCAGCGAATAAATCCCGCCGCGCTGGCGTCGCATCGGGGGGAGGTGAGAGCCCCTTCGTTTCCCAGAGCAGCGGGATCAACACCTCCTTGTCTTCCCAGTCACCGCATTCCTTTCCCACCTCCCTTCCCCCTCCTCCTGCTCCTCTTCTTGCTCCCCCTCCTAACCCTGCCCCTCCCCCCCCCCTCCTGCCCAGCGAAGAGATAACGCAGCTGGCGCCCTGTAGCGCTATCCTGGCACCTGGAGCCCACTGGCCCCTGGGGCCGTCCTGTCACGTGGTCCAGCAAGGCCCCCGCTCCGGCGCAGCGGCGCCATGCGAGCAGGGCCACTCGAAATAGAGAATCACAGGGCAGCTCGCCGCTTCGGCCCTGCCGCCAGCCCAAACGGCGAGCACGCATTGGGCGAAGCCCCGCGCGCATTTTGATGTCCAGCCGGTGGGCCTCGTCGGCGTGCTTGTCGTCGCCTTGGGTATCATCGCGGTGGCGGTGATCGTCGCCAGTGTCGTCGTCGTTGACTGGTTGCGTTATAGGGTGTGCGCTTGGTTGTTGAGTGTGGAATTGCCCCCTCTTGGTTGCGCCCTAGGTTGCGCGCTCGGCCGCCGCCAAAAAAACTACATCCTGTTGGTTGCGCCAAAGGTTGCGCGCTCGACCGCCGAGAATAAGACTGCCTCCTACTGGTTGCGCTATAGGTTGCGCCCTCGGCCGCCAAAAATAGACCTGCCTCCACTCGGTTTCGCCATAGGTTGCGCTCGTATGCCAAGTCGTACTCGTTCGCTTCAGTTAGACCGTATTCTCAATGTTTCCAGAATTCGGCTGCGTGCTGCACGAGAGAATATTAGTTTGGGGGAGCTCGCGGTGCTAAGATAACGCTCCGTACCCAGGCGGCCCGATATCGCGGGGTGCACTACTGCCCCCCAGGAAGGCCGCGGGATCTCGGAACACAATTGTTGTGCAATTCGAAATCGTGTACGACCAGGACGAGGACATTTGAAAATCTAGACGCTTCGCGTATCCCGACCAGCGCCTTTGGTCTTCCCCCGCGAGTCTCGGACGCCAGCGGCCCTCTCCGCAGCCGTTCGGCTTGTGCAGGTCGGCGTGGAGTCTGGCGCCGCCCCGGCGACTCACTCCGTTGCCTCCGCACATTCTTCTAGGCAGCCCGTTTACTTCGGTTCACGCTGCGGCGCTTGTGTGCGTTTGTTTGTGAATTTAGTTCATTTTGTTCAGTGCATGTGCAACTGCGAGTTTGTCTTGCGGGGGCGAGCTTGTCCGCCGGCACTGGCGGCTTTGTTCTCAAATTCGCCCCGTTCCGCCACCTGGGCGCCGCTTTCGCTTTTTGACCGTTGCCTTGGAGCCGCCGACCGAAAAAAATATCCCGACCAGCTACCCCCTGGTGGTCTTCGAGTTCGACGTCACCTTGCTCTTCGCCATTTTGGCGCTGCACGTGGTCCTGGAACTGCTCTGGGTCTCCCGCAGTTGAGGCGCAGTGTAGTCCGCTCCTGCGCACCGAGTGGGTAATTTAGGCCATTGCTAGTTTGCAGTTCCTTGGCGGCGCCTGGCACCCCTGCGAGCTCGCGAACAAGGTATCCCGACCAGCCCATCCAGAAAAGGTCGCCAGACCTCCTTCGCGACGTGTTGCTGGTTGCCTTTTTCTTCCGACGTATCGATTGTTACCTGCTGTCCTCGTGTGTCATTGGTTGCCTGCGGCCCTGGGCGCGTTGTTCGTTGCCTGTTGCCTTAGACGCGTCGCGTCCTGGGGGGCCTTCTTGGGACCTTCTTGGGCCCTTGTTGGTACCCTCCCGGGGCAGTTTGGGCGGGTCTGGGGGGTCTCGTGGGGCCGTCTGGGCCCCCATGGCTCAAACAGAGGGGGGTGCTCAATTTAGGCACCCCCCTTCGGAGGCTCAACACTTGCTTCAAACAGAAGGAGGTGTTCAATTTAGGTACCCCCCTTCGGAGGCTCAACAATTGCCTCTTGGGGCGCTCTTGGGGCGCTCCCGGGGCGCTCTTGGGCGCTCCTGGGTTCGTCGCGGGGCCCTCATGGGTCCCTCGCGGGGCTCGCTGGGGCCATCTTGGGGCCATTTTGAGGCATCAGGGGCCCGTCGGAAACGAGAAAGCAAGAAGGCAAACCAACCTTGGCAAGGAGGCCGCGGCGCTCCCCACGACCACGGTTTTCGATGATTGGCCGATCAGCGGGCCGCGGACGGCGGAGTGGCTCGCGCGCGAGATCGCCCGCCAGGAGCTGACGCCGGCGCGGAGGTGCATCTGGTGGCGACAGCTGCTGGGCTCGGGCCCCAGCGACTGGGGCGTCGGAGAGCGCGAGGCCCGCAGCCGGCTCTTCGAGTGCGCCCTGACGTGCGACCAGCTCAACTTCGGTGAGTTGGCCTCGCTGGAGCTCGCGGGGCGTCGCTACCAGCTGCTGGAGGAGAGGTGCGCCCGGATGCTGGTCTCGGCGACGGCGGGCGGTGACAGCGGCCACCTCGACAGCGACAGGTTCTTCGTGGGAGAGGAGGGCCGGCACGGGCGCGCTCTGGCGGCACTGGCGCTGGAGACCTGGATCTCGCAGAAGCTGTCGGAGGAGAGCGCCGTGCTCAAGGGGCGCCGCAAGGCGAAGGAGGAGCGGCAACTGGCACGCTCGACAGACGTGACCCCCGGCGCCTCAAGCGGGCCGAGCGACGACAAGCCCCCCAAGAACCCGCGCAAGAAAGGCGGCGGGCAGGGGGGGGGCTGCTCGAGCTGCCTCGGACGGCGGAGGCCCCCGGCCGTCGCCCCAGCTGCATGAGGGAGGGCTGCTCGCTTGAGGAGGATGGCGAGCCGCCTTGGCGTTGCAGGTGAGGGCCTTGACTGGGCTCGCGATTTGCTGCCGCTGCCATCGGGTCGCTGCCAGGCTGATCTCCTGGAGGGTTTATCGCCGGCGGGGCTGGGCGTTTCGCGCTGCGCGGATCGGCGGCGCTCGCGCCGCTGGGCTGCGGGGGCGTGGCTGCAGGACGGCGTCGCGACGCTTAACGCTCTGGGCGGGCGCGGTGAGGTGTGGGGCCCCAAAGTGATGCCTTGTGCCATTCAGCGCCAGGCGGTGGCCAACTTGGCCAGGGCCTACTACTCGGTGCCGCCACCGCCCGACGACCTCACCACTTCGGGAGCGTGGTCTGCGCTTCGGGGCTGCGGATCCGGCCACGCCTGTGATGGCGTCGTCGCCGGAGAGTTCGCCACCTACCAGCGTGGCAGGCTTGCCCTGCCGGCGGTCGGCAACCAGGCGATCGACCTCGTTGGCTGCCTGCCCGACCACTACCAGAAGTTGCTGGAGGATAGTGGCCGCGCTATTCGGCTACCAGCAGCGTGTACTACGGACAGCGCGGCGAAGGCGGACGAGCTGGACATCGCGATGGATCCCATCCTGGCGAGGTCTCCGAGCAAGTTCGCCGAGTTTTTGAACAGTGCTTATGAATCTGGAGTCGTCGAGCCGGCGACCGAGGTCCGCAATTTTGTGGGAGTCTTCTTTGTTCGCAAGAAGGACGGCTCGTTGCGGATCATCTTCGATCCTCGGAAGACCAACGCGCAGTTCGCGCCGCCCGACGGGCTGTGGGTCAACGAAGGAGACGTCGAGAACTGCTATGACCATTTCCTGCTGCCAGTCGACCTGCGTGCCGATTTCGCTCTGCCAGCGGTGCCGCGGCGGGCGGTGCCGCGGCGCTTGCGCGGCCTGTTTCCTGCAGGCGCCGAGCGGGTGCACTTCCAGGTTCGCGTGGTGCCGATGGGCTGGGGCTGGGCCGTGGCGCTCGTGCAGGCGGCGAATGCGGAGCTGCTGCGGTTGGGGCCGCTGGGCTCTCGACGCTGGATCTGCAATCGCCGCTGCGCGCCCGCCGTCGCTGGGCGCGAGCCCGCTGCTCTCCCGCGCATCGACATCTTCGCCTCGTTGGGGGCCGAGAAGGAGACAGTCCAGGTTGATGGCGACTCGATGGAGAGGCGGCTGAGGGGTCGTGGTCTGGCTACTCGTGACGTCTCCGGGCCGCAAGTCGACGTGGACCTCCCAGGCTTCCACGTCGACGGAGAGAAGCGCGCGATCCACATCGCGCCCAAGCGGTTCTGGCGGCTGGCCCTGAGCCTGGACTACATACATCCTGACGCATCCACTCCTGACAGGGGCCGAGCTGGAGCGTCTGATCGGGCACCTGACGTAGGTCCTTCTGCTGCGGCGCGAGGTGCTCAGCTTGCTAAGCGCCTCTTACGTCTTCATCGGCAAGTGCTACGCTCGCCGAGTGCGGCTCTGGCCTTCGGCGCGCCGGGAGCTGTCCTGGATGCGGGCGCTGCTGCCGCTGGTGTGGGCCGATCTGCGCGGCGCCTGAGCGCCTGGCGCAATGGCCGCGGACGCGTCCCTGGCGGGCCTGGGCGCTGTGGAGTGCGCGGCCGCCCCCGCCGGGGCGGGCCGCGTCGGGCGCGCGCGCGAGCGCCGGCGGTTCAAGGGGCGCGAGCTGGTGGCCGAGGGCTCGAGGGCGCGCGCCTTGCTAGAGGGCGCCGTGGACCCTCCGAGTTCTGCAGGCCACCTCTGTGGAAGACCGCGGCTTCGAGGCGGTGGCGGCACAAGGCTTCGATCCATCTCCTGGAGGGCGAGGCTCTGCTCCAGGCGATGCGGGGGCAGGTGCGCCGGGTGGCGCATCACGGCTGCAGGCTTCTCTTTTTGTCCGATAGCATGTGTACTTGTTGTGCAGTTGCAAAAGGACGAGCCTCGGACTTTCCCATTCTTGCTCAGTTGCGTCACCTTACCACACTTCAGCTTGCTTCATCGTGTCGAGTCTCAGTTCGTTGGATTCCCTCCGAAGGACACCCCGCCGACGGCCTTTCCAGGCGGTTCGAGCCTCGCTGGGTGCGGGGCGATGGAACGCCGAACGTTGCTGGCGGCCGCGCCGAGGGGGCCGCCGTCGCTGGCCTCGAGCGTGCCTGCGGGCAGCCGCCGACCTGCGGCCGCGCCGCTGGGCGCCCCGCCAGCGAGGAGGGCCCGTGTCAGACGCCGGGGCACCGCGACCGAGTCGCCTGCCGCGACAGCCTTGCCGTGGCACCGCCTCCTGGGCTCGAGCGTCTCGGGCTTGGAGCTGGAAGCGGTGAGGCCGTCGACGCAGCGGAACTACCTGCGCTGCCTCAGTGGCCTTTGCAGCTGGCTGGGTCTGGAGACCCTGCCCAGCTGGGGCGCGCTGGAGTGGGGCGACGCGCTGCCGCAGTACCTGAACGACGAGTTCTCGGAAGGTGCGCGGCCCAACAGGGCGGCGAAATTGCTGTCGGCGGCGCCGTGGGCGAGGCCAGCGCTGGGGCGACCCCCGCGGGCGGTGCTGCCGCGGAGCAGCCGAGCGCTGCTGGGCTGGAAGCGCAGGCGTCCAGACCACTCGCGACCGCCGCTCCCCTGGCTCGTCCTGTGCGGAGTCCCGGAAACTCTGCTGCTGGAGGGCCAGGTGGCGACGGCGCGCGCCCTCGTCCTCACGTTCCATTGCTGCCCGCGACCAAGCGAGCTGCTGGCCATGAAGGCGTTTCAGCTGGTGGCACCCGCTCAGGGCCTGCAAGGCGGGTTCCGCTGATGGACGCTGCTGCTGCATCCCGAGGAGCTGCTGGTGCCCGGCAAGACAGGCGAGCTGGGCGACTCGCTGCCGCTGGACGCCCCCGAGCTCCTCTGGCTCGCGCCAGTGCTGAGCGAGCTCAAGGCACGGCTGGAGCCCCGCGCGCCGCCGTGGAGTTTCGGCTGCGCGCAGCTGCGCGCGGAGCTCGAGGAGGCAATGGCGGCGCTGGGCCTGCAAGACCTCGGCGCCGCGCTGTGCTGCTCGAGGCGCGGCGGGGCCAGTCACGACAGGATCGCGGGGCGCAGGTCGCTGGAGGAGGCGGCCAAGCGCGGCCGCTGGCGGGCCCGGCTCTCGGTCAGAAGATGCGAGAAGCACGGCCGCCTGGCGCTGCAGGCGGCGAAGGTGCCACCCGTGGTGCAGCAGCGGTTGCGCCTGAGCATGCAGCGGCTGCGACGCTCGCTAGGTTAGCTCATAAACGTGGGATCCCTGGAGGGCTCGAGAATCATGTTTTTTTCTAGGCTTTGGCTTTGTCCGCCAGTTTTTGGTCTCACTAGGCTCACCGGCTTTCGGGGCGTCTTCGCAGACTTTTGTATGTGGGGTGAGCCTTGGAGAAAGCGCACCCGGCTTCGCCTCTGGCACGTCCCTTCGGACCGTCTCGGGCGAAAATGCCAACGAAAAAAGCTCTGCGAGCGATCTGGGTGTAGGCGCCAGGTTCTCGAGGGCAAGGCCCCGGGGGGCCAGTTTTGGACGGCCGTGGCGCAGCCGTATCCGAAGCTCCTGTGCAAGGCTCTTGCTAAAGCGTTGGTAGACGCCTCCTGTGATACTAGATCCACGCGGTTGTGGGACATTTGTAAATGCTAGCGGTATAACCAGTGCGCTAATGAAATTGGCCGTGTGGATGGCCAAGAATTTTTTGCTTGTTGAATGCCGCCGGGTTCTATGTACCGTTGCTGCCGAGGCTCCTCGGCCCTGCGCCCCCTCAAGCTTCTGATGGAGGCCTTGGAGATAGTTTATCGTGTTGGCTTGGCAATTTGTGGATCCGCAACCGTTGGATCAATCCAGCCGCGCGAGCCGCCCAACCCTCCCTCCCTTTTCTGCTCTCTTGTCTTCCATTACCACACGAATTCACGAATTTAACAGGCCAAGGGTTTGTTTGATTGTTGAATGCCGCCGGGTTCTATGTACCGTTGCTGCCGAGGCCTCGGCCCTGCGCCCTCACAAGCTTGTGCTGGGGAAAAATAGAAGGCCATATTTGTTCAACGTTTTGCAGGAGTCTGGCCTCGTGGAGGGTGCCCAGAAAGGCTCGAAGGGCACCTGGAACCGTCTTGAGGCTGCCATGGGGCCTCTTGGAGGTACGTCGGCGGCTATATTTAGCCATCTTCGGCTATCTTGAACCATCTTGGAGGCTGCCGTGGGCTGCCAAGGGCCCTCTTGGAGCCATCTTGAGTCACTTTAGACGCTCTAACTACCCGCTCCCCCCCGCCCCCCCCCTCCCTGGCCCAGGGTAGAGGGTATGGGGGAGGGGTGAACCCTTCACCCGAGCAGGAAAGGAGGGACAGAGAAGGCAAGAACTCGATATATCACTTACGCCCAGAGAGCTGATGGGTTTCAGAGGGCACCCATTGAGCTCAGCGGTTTTCCACAGCGCTTACAGACGGGTTCCAGCACGTTTTCAAAAGTCTTTGCAGCGGATTCA